TTAATTAAAATTATGAGGCTACACAAACAAAAACACCAGGAGTAAAACATACTACCATGTTGGGAGCAAAAAAATAAAATGGTACTGCGTTAGTGCATGAATGCTTATGTACCTAAAACAATAATTGGACGGAAGATGACCCAGAGAGACAGTATAAATACATGCTAAATATTTTCAATTAGCTTTTAATTGGTTAAATAGTTTAGTGACTACCCTGACACTGGAAGGGATGCAAATGTGGCATCTCTTTCCATTGAATTAGAAGATTTCTGGTTTGTATTCAACCAATCCTGACCTTCTCATTGGTAAATAACTATAAAGCATATACTGGCTGAAAGTACCTGAAGAGTCTATGGCTGGGGTGGCCAAACTGTGGCTCATAAGGCACAGGTAGCTTTTTCAGCTTAATATGCGACTCATGGAAATATATTAGCTGAGTAATTATAGAGGGAGCACATCCGATGAAAACTGAATTTCAGTATCTGTCTATATTTCTGAGATGAGGTATTATGTACACTATTTACATTATTCGGACTATTGTCCTCATCTTTGTCGCCATATTTATTACAAAGTTTCGGCCTTTCAGTATCTGTCTATATTTCTGAGATGAGGTATTATGTACATTATTTACATTATTTGGACTATTGTCCTCATCTTTGTCACCATATTTATTACAATGTTTCAGCTGTTGTATGCTCTGGCCTTCTTCAGGTGGTTGGAATGCCAAACTGAACCCTCAAGGACACATGGCACAGTGGATAATGGCGTTAGTTAGATCCAGAGACAGGACCCAAAGAGTGTGAGTTCAATACCCAGTTAAGGCAGTGGAGAACTTTCAGAGGGAAATTAACAGGAGATAACTGATAATTGACATCCATTAAACATGGCACGTGGGACTAGAACAGTCTACCCCAGTGAGCGAAATAAAGTGTTCAGTTCGACATTCCAACCACCTGAAGAAGGCCGGAGCATACAACAGCTGAAACATTGTAATAAATATGGCAACAAAGATGAGGACAATAGTCTGAATAATGTAGATAGGACTGAATTTACTGCACAAGCAAGTTAGCCTTTGAGATGAACATGATAATTCTAGTTCTATTTGCAGGGGTGATCAAATCATGGATCACAAGCCACATGCGGCTCTTTGACCTTTAATATACGGCCTTTGACCTTTAATATATGTCTTGTGGAAATATGTTGGCTCAGCTCCTTTTTTCATCACAGTTAATATAAAAGATCGTTGTCGTCGGCATCTGTCCATCTTGAGAGATGATGGAGTAGTGTGGTGCGCTACAAGCCTGGGCGGGATATATAGAGAACTAGGGCAGCCCGGATGTCTAGTTCCCCCTCTCGGCCTTCCTAGCAGAGTCCAAAGGAGAGGATAAACCAATACAGTTTGGTACCAACGCGGCTGCAGGAGTTGCCAGAAGGTAGCACAAAGTGCCGTCCATCCGCCTTAGGGGATCCACTCTGGGTTTGAATTCAGAGATGTCCTTCTCCTCGACCAGTTGCCATCCAAGGCTATAGAACCCAGTCTGTCTTGCTATTTACCCATAGCTGGAGGGAGAAGAGGAGGATTCACACATTTCAAAAGAGTATTAGCCCGTAAGTGAATGTAATGGATTCAATTGGAATTCGAACTCGGCTCTCCGATTCCTCAATCCAAGCCGCTATCCACTGTGCTTCCTCTCAATATAAAAGGTAAATAAGAAAAAATTACAGATTTATAATTATTTATTGGGTATGAATACAGACCCCATTGGATTAAAACATAAGTTTAATGTTAATGTGTATGTAACAAAAACGTATGTGTAAATTTTGTTCATGCCTTGCAGCTCTCAAACATCTGAACTTTATCATATGTGTATCTTACATTAAACAAGTTTGACCACCACTGCTCTATAATGTATTGCTCTATCCAGTGATTATGGTTCATTGTAGAAATAAATTTTGTGATCTTAGACAAGCATCTCTAGTCTATGCACCACATATGGCTTGAGATAAGATTTTATTTTAACTTGAGATGGATGACTTTCACACATGCAGTTCAGTATTTGATTATTTTGTTGGCGTCTTTGCTAATGTTTGCCATTTTTGTTTATTATGTATAGTCTTTCAGTAGAATTGTTGTATTGGAATTTCCATGTTTTTGTTTTGTTTTCCATTCTATTGTGACGTTTATAAAAATGATCAAAATAAAATTTATTCAATTCAGTTTTATTTATTTGTTTATCAAAACTGAATTTTTTGGCCTTTGAGATAATCATGATAATTCTAGTTCTATAGCAGAGGTAGCCAAATCGTAGCTCTCAAGTTATATGTGGCTCTTTGACCTTTAATATGCGGCTTGTGGAAATATATTAGCTGAGCTTCTTTTCTTTTTATCGCCGTTAATATAAAAGGTAAATAAGAAAAATTACTGGCTTTATAATTATTTACAGGGTATGAATTGAGACCTCATTGGATTAAAATGTTAGTTTAATGTTCATGATTAATAAAAATATTTAAGAATTTAAATCCTAATTTTAATGCTAGTTTTGAGTGGGGCATTGTTCTTTAATGCCGAAGGAAGGAATGGTGGTGGGCAGAGGGATTAAAGAAATTTCCAGTCCTTAAGGCTTACAGAGGAATGCCAGAAGACTGAGGTCATGGGTGAGGGGATGAAAGATTTGGGTGTACTGGGTTAGTGAATGCAGGTCTCAAACTTCTGGAATTTATTGTATGTAGTTCTTACATTAAGAAAGTTTAGCCATTTCTGGTCCATGGGAAGGTGGCTGAACAGTCATGGCTCTTAAAGTTAATAGAAATGCTTTGTTTCTGTAACTGTTACTTTGTGTCAAGTCCCTTCGTGGTTACCTCATCATCGATTAAACTGGTTTCCCCACCAGGCATTTCTAGTAAGGAGGACAGCTAGACACTCAGTAGAATTAAAAACAAGATCTGTTAAAGAACAGATGAACCTTCTTGTAGGTTCAATGGATATCAAGCATAATAGGGTAGACTGGAACCCGTAACTATGTATGCAACCAATATGGTGATGACATTCCATTGCTGAGTATAAGGCTTTGAAGACTGAAGCCAGCAGACAGGACAGAGGGTTCTCTTTGTAGCATTGCAGCCCAGACAACACACCAGGTTTATTCTCAGGGTGTGGCTTCTTCCAATCAATCCTTAGGGTATTAGCATGTTATGTGCAATGCGTGATACATGCTTAGGCAATCATGTATCTTTTGATACATGACTGACAAGGCAGATTTTTTTCCTGCAGTAGGTTACCATTTCTTTCTGTGGTAGACCAGTTGCCATCCAAGGCTATAGAACCCAGTCTGTCTGCAATTTACTGATAGCTGGGAGAAGAAGAAGAGGATTCATACCTTTCCCAAAGCTATTAGCATGTAAGTGAATGTAATAAATTTGACCGGAATTTGAACTCAGCTCTCTGATTTCTCAATCTGAGCCACTAGCTATTACTCCATGTAATGAACTCAACTAGAATTTGAATTCTGCTATCCAATTCCTCAATCAAAGCTGCAAACTATTACTTTAGCATGCCGCCTTTAAAAAAAACAATAATAATAATCATTGGTCTTATTTGATATATATATATATATATATATATATAATTTGAGGCGTCCAGGTTTATACAAGTTGAATTATTATGAAAAATTCTTCAAATCCCTGAAATAACTATTCAATTACATAAACTAGATCCAGATTCTAGTGCACAGGATGAAGCAACATGGTGAAGGAAGTCATTGGAAATAGGATAAGCTGTGCTATATTGTGTCTAGTTGCTTAGTTTCCTCTTCATCACTGAGGCCTACTGGCCCAATGATATGATGCTTGTATTGTATCTTAATGGTCAGGGTTCAATTCTCAGTGGTGGATGTGCACTGCTGATACATCCCCAAAATAGGATGAAATAGCTGTCCAGTACTTTTCGGCATTCTTTTGAGGTTTTTAGGCATGAGGAATTATCATGAAAATATATATATATATATATATATATATATATATATATATTGATAATATTAGTGATCAATGTATATATATATATATATATATATATATATATATATATATAATTCCCAAGAGCATAGAATCCAGGTACAACTCAATATCCAGGACAGAGTAAGAATAAATTTTAATCCCCCCACCTTCACCTTTAGGCCTTCCTGTTCTTCTTTCTTCTCTTACACCCCCTCTCTAGAGCATTCATACATTTCCCTCTCACACTTGTTTCCCCACTCCCACACATACACTCTCACTGAAATTTTATTTTTTATACCCGGAGTTATATTTTCCGATTTCATTTTGAATTTGTAGGTCTGATGAATTGGATTGTGATTACGATTCCAATGTAATGAATTATAACCATGGAATATTAGTGTTTGAGCCTTTTATATTATATATATATATATATATATATATATATATATATAGAGAGAGAGAGAGAGAGAGAGAGACAGAGACAGAGACATCATTTATATTGTTCAGAGTGTTGTTCCCATCTTTATTGCCATATTCATGACATTTCAGCTGTTGTACCTTTCGGCCTTCTTCAGGTGATTGGAATTTCAAACTGAATCCTTTATTTCATCCACCACTGTAGATTGTTCTAGTTCCATGTGCCATGCCTCTTTTGGATGTCTCAGTTATCTCCCTTTAACTCAACTCTCCGAGTTTTCGCTCAACACTGTAGTAGCCAGGTATTGAACTCACAACTCTTTGGGTCAAGTGACTGGATCCAACCAACGTTTTTATCCAAAAAACCTTCTGTGTTCTAGTGGCATTGTTCCCTTTCTTGGGGTGAAATGATTAAAAAAAAGATACTTAACTTTTTTTTTTTTTCACTTTCCTTTTTTGAAACAAGGGATCAGTTTAGTGGCTGAAGTAGTTGTGCATCATTTTTGTTACTTGTTCTTAATGTTTAAGTAAAAAACCAAGTCTTCAAATTAAAAAAAAAGGAAAAAAAGAAAAATTAAAATGGTTCTTACTTTTTGAATGCACCCAGAAAAAGATGTAGAGATGTTGGCATATTTGGAAGTTTCATCGAAATTCTGGTGTCCACCAATAAACAGGTCTTGAAGGAGCGTCAGCTGGGTATAAGCTCCTTGGGAAAGACCCTCAGCTCGAGGTTGGTCATCTACTTCCAGAATTCCATCGCGTCCAGTCCGGCTAATTTTGACAATGTGCCATTGGCCCAAGGTCACTGCTTGGGGACTCCTGTTGAATAAAAAGAAAAATACACATTGGCAAAACTATTTCTTGATCAAAATTCATTCCATGTTGTATAATAAAAATAAAATTCAAATCTAACATCTATTTACCTCCCACACTGCGAGAGCAGGATATGACACATTGAATTTAAATTTTCTAAGATCATAATTGACTGGAAAGCAAGAGACTGAAAGAGAGTTCCAAAAGTGGGAAGAGTGAGAAAGGAAACTGATAGCAAAGAACTTACAGTTACATGTAAATTTTCCCACAGATAAAAATATTACAAGCTACTCAATAGTCTATCACTATTTCCATGGCAAATGTTCTAATGAGTTACATTTCTTAGTCCCACCAGTTCTATCCTTCACAGCTAATATTGACCCATGACAGGTACATAGAGGCGAATCATCCACTTTCACTTTATCTTCCATTAATAAGAAGGAAGTTCCACTTGGGCATTGTCTTCCTAAGAACTTTGTAGAACAGACTCACAAGAGGATGCTTTCTTGATCACTACCATCTTAACATTTTCAAGACTCTGGTTAACTATTATCTTTCATAGATCTCCTCATAAACAGCACTTCTTACCATCTCTTCTTACACTAATACAAGTACCCCTCAGACTTCCTTCAGTTATGTGCCATGCGTGATACTTGCCTCGTCAGTCATGTACCTTTCGATACATGACTGACGAGGCAGATTTTTTTCCTGCAGTAGGTTGCCATTTCTTTCTGTGGTAGACCAGTTGCCATCCAAGGATATAGAACCCAGCCTGTCCTGCTATTTACCCATAGCTGGGGGGAGAAGAGGAGGATTCATGCCTTTCCCAAGGGTATTAGCATGTAAGTGAATGTAATGGATTCGACTGGAATTTGAACTCAGCTCTCTGATTCCTCAATCCAACCTGATATCCATTACACCACTGCACCTCTTCAAGAATTCCTTAAGAGAAGGAAAACTCTGATTTAAAACCTCTACTGTCTTTTGGTCATACTCAATCATGGGAAAGGTTTCAGGAGTAAGCCCCGAGGACAAATCTGGAGCTGGAGTCTCTAAGACAGTATGTGGAAATTCATATTCAAAGTTGGTGTCTGGCACAGAATAATTCACTTCATGGTTTGAAAGAAGTCTTTAGTCTTAGGTGGTAGCTTTTTTTAGAGATCGTGTCTCAACAAAATCACCAGGATGTAGTGTCGGCATCCCACATTTTGTATCAGCTATTGAAAGAACTATGTTCTGACCAACCATAGGGAGGTCGAAAGATGATCATGATGATGAAGAAGAGCATATATTTGGGGTTGGCAAAAAAGAGAATAATATGAAGGTAAACAGCGTTTGACTCTGGACTTGACGGGGTTAAGATTGTAACGATTGGAGAAGCATACTGTTCCCTTACTCCCTGTTCAGCCATCCATTTGCACAAACTCAATTCCTACAGCCCCCTCTTGTCTTCAGTATATACTGTGAGTATTAAATGCTCTCAGCCAGGTTTCCTCATTATGTGTTGTAGTAATTTCAATTGTCCTTTTCTAATTCTCAATACAAGGGTCCTTTTCATTTCTATTTTAAGTAAAACTTGTTATTCTCATGTCTTCGTCAGTGTTATTCATGGAATGCTTCTGTGTCTCAAGAATTCTCTTCATCTGCAAGGAAACTGTCCAAAATACACTATCATAATGGAGGACTGATATTATAAAACAGTTCAACACTCTAATGAAATTTTCCTGTTTCTTAATACTTAGTTTAGTTTGGTTCGGTTTGTTTTACGGCATATCAATCTACATGGGTTATTGTTGTGTACGATACACCTAATTTACATAAGTGGAGTACCGACCATATAAATATGGGTTGGTACCGGAAGACGGGGGTTAGTAGGAAAGGAAGAAGAGATCGAATCGAGAGACTCTGCCCGACTGCGATTTAGTCAACCCATTATGCAGGAACAGTCTTCCCAAGAATATACCAAAACTAACTGTAAATATTGTGTACCCTTTCCTTGTTTCAATACATTTTGTTTACGTACATTTTGTGTTGTATTATTATTATTCCATGCTTATCCAAGTTTCAACAGTTATTTAAAGCTGACAAGATTTTTACTGCTGGTAATATATTTGTTAAAAATTGTATTGCTGGTAATATTTTTTTCAGAAATGTATTGCTGGTAATATTTTTTTCTTCAAAAATGTATTATAATAATTTTTTTTTTTAAAATTCATTGCTTACACAGTTCCCAATTGAAACCTTGTTTCTCATGAAACAGATAACCAGTCACCTCTTAACTCTTGGGAATGAGGTAGTTGTGAAAGGAGAGATGCAGGAACAACAAACAAAAACTCTATATCAAAGTTCATGAATTGCAAAAGTCATGTTATCTCCAGCATTTTCAATTCACAAATTTTGTAAAGACTGGCAGAAAACAAGAGCTTTTATTTTGCACAAAGCAAAATAAAATTGGCATAATGAGATTTCAGGAACACAGGTAACATCAACCAGACATTGACCTGAATTATAACAACCTTGATCAATACTAATTCCTCACCACCTCAGCTACCAAAAACTCTCAGTGTTCCAGTTGGCAGAGTTGGTATACTTCTTTCTCCTAAATCATCAAGGAACTGTTGAAAAATATCTGATTGCATATTTGTTGCAGAATTCAACAGTAATCCTCAAACCATATTCATTGTTTGTTACTGTCCAACTAATACAAGCGAGGAAAAACTAGTAGATGACTTTTACTCACATCTGAAGAGAGTAATGAAAAGTGTCTGCTCACATAACTTCCTCGTTATCTCAGGCGATTTCAATGGTCAACTAGGGAAGGATGGTACTCTATTCATAAGGAAACTAACTGAAATGGGGAAAAACTGATAGACTCTACAAACATGAGGTTCATTATTTACATTATTCAGACTATTGTCTTCATCTTTGTTGCAATATTTATTACAATGTTTCGGCCATTGTACGCTCTTGCCTTCTTCAGGTGGTTGGAATGTCGAACTGAACCCTTTATTTCACTCATTGGGGTAAACTGTTCTGGTTCCATGTGCCAATTTTAATGGATGTCAGTTATCAGTTATCTCCTGTTAATTCCCCTCTCCAAGTTCTCCCCTACCTTAGCTGGGTATTGAACTCACACTCTTTGGGTCCTGCCACTGGATCTAACTAGCGCCTTTATCCACTGTGCTATAGTAGTATAATATAGTAATAGTCTGAATAACGTAAATAGTGTACATAATAACTCATCTCAGAAATATAGACAAACACGAGGTTCATGAAGCACCCAAAATGTCTGTGGACATTCCAACATTCATCCAGATCTCATTCACAAATTGATTAGATCCTCATGAAAAACAAGTGGAAGAACAGTATTCGTAATGTCCAGGTATACTCATCCTTCTCTTCTGTCAGTTCTCATCATAGAGTTGTTTCCATACATGTCGTTCTTAGCCAAAGGTCATCCAAACAGCCAGTACCAGACCCTGTGAAACAAGCCATGTGGGTCAAGATATCCTCAAACAGAACTTTGAGATACTACTTTGCTGTAGATGTTAATGATTATTATGAAATGCTCTCTGATCAATCTGATGACATTGAAACATGATACAACAACCTTATATTATCTACAGAAAAAATCACACTCTCAAAGTTGCCAAAGAAGGAAAAGTTGCAGCACACCCAGATAAGTGCAGATGTCCATGTGAGAAATGCAAAAAAAGATTTGCAAAGAGTGAAACCAAAATATGATCAGGAGCTAATTAGAAGTATTTAAAAAAAAATAAAAAAACGCGAAAGCACAAGGGTTACTAGATGAGACCCATGCCAATGTAGACGTAAGGGGAGATTGACAGATTGTAAGACTGAATACAGAGAAACAACATGCTGCAGCCTGAAAAACAAGAAACACACTCTTAGGAAGAAAATCTAAGACTTCCATTCGGCTCAAAGGTGGTTCCACTGAAAAGTGTAAAGTTAACTGATTTGACAACCTTAATTAACTCCTGGGAGAATCACCACAAGTGAATGGTCTTCCACTCCCTCTACATCAAATACTCAATACACTGGACATAAACACCAACCCATTCATGCTCAATGAATTCAAAACAACACTTGAAGATTTTGCCAACAACAAATTTCCAGTTTTTGACAACATTATTGTGGAAAGATCCAATATTTCATGACCTCCTAGAGTTTTTGCTACCACACACACCATTTGCTACCTTCAGTTTGGCTGAAGGGAGGAATAGTCCTTGTTCCAGAAAAGGGCGCCTAACAATTGCAACAAACTATAGGGATATAATTCTCATGCCAATTGCAACAAAAGTTTATAATAAGTGTCTTCTAATAAGGATTGTCTCTACTATCGATCCACTTCTCTGCAAGAACTAGAATGGATTTAGGAGAGGCAGGTTGGCAGCTGCTCAAATCCTCTCCATTCAAAGAGGTCAAAATCTATTTTGTTGACTTTCACAAGGTGTTTGATTCCATCAACAGAGATCTCATTTTTCAAATCTTCCAACTCTATGGTATAACCTCCAGAATTGTTGAGGCAATTAAAGCTGTGTACAGAAACACCACTGCCACCATTGTATTATTACCTGATGGTCATTTGAAGATAAAGCAGGAGCTCTAAATGGTGAAACACTTGCTCCTTTTCTGTTTATAGTTGTTCTGGACTATGTTCTGCGTATTTATCTCGACAACATAGAGGAAAAAGGACTTCTTTTTGAAACCTCACCAGAGTAGTTGGTAAACCCAACCACAATACTTTACTGATGATCTTGCATTAATTTCTCAATGTATCAAAGACACAGAATCCTTACAGCAATCACTTGAGCAAGCAGCAAACCAGGTAGGTCTCTATTGCAGCACAAGTAAGACAGAATATATCAAAACTTCCCCTAAACCATCAGTTGAAGTCACTCAATAATACATCCAACTAAAGAGTTGAGAACTTCAAATATTTTGGGTCTTACATAATAGATTCCCCAAAATCTTCAACATCTGTA